TCAATGTTGTAATGTGTAAATACAATCCCTGATACCAATACTTAAATATTCAAAGAGACAAAAACTACAAAGTTAGTTTTCATAAAGTCAAAATATTTTTGAATGGTACAAAATACAGTAGTTTTGGTTTTCAAATCAATTGCTTGTAAGAAATGCTCTAATTTCTTTGAACAGTTACGAAAAAGTATCCAATGATTTTCACTGCGATGTCTATTATTGAAAGTTTTTCTCTTCATATGGCGAATTTTCGCTTTATAATATCTGGATCTGAATTTTTTAAAGTATTTTTGCGGCGCAAACATATGCAATGCATTATATAGAATGCTCTTAAACGCCGTCCAAATTTCCTCCTTACCCCCTTCTATTCTCAGGAAACGATCGTACTGTTATCTTAGGTAGTGGTGAAGCCTTCTGAATTTGCCTTCTTGAACTGCTAGATTTTTTAACCGTTAGGTATTCTTTTATGTTTAATATTTATATCTAAGTCTATTAACACCGCTTTGTAATCGCTTATGCTATCAATGACGTCGCAAGACAAGAAAAGCTCTTGCGGCCTAATTAAGAAAACATTTAGAAGCGCCTTCTGCCGCGTTGGTCTATCGATTATCTGCGCTAATCCCCCTTCCCAGACGAGTCTGTTCACTGACTGTTGTACTTTCGCTTCGCCCGCAGCGCCTTTACAATTTGCATCTGGAATTCGAGTATTTAAATCACCAGCGTTAACTATAGGATGTATATCGGCGTTTTCTATTTTCTCAGAAATTGCTTCCAAAATTTCGTAATTTTCATTTGGTGGCTTATAGCATGCAAACATTTCTCACACATTCCTTAAATTACTTATTTCTATCCTCATTGTCTCAATTAGTTCTTTGATCAAATTTCTCCTTACATCTATGGCATCCTTAACACCTCTAGTATTTCTATCTCTCCTAAACGACCTGTAATACGGACGAAAAACATTAGAGTTGGCAATCTCTTCCGTTAGTCAAGATTCAGTTCCTATTATTACATCAGGATAACAAGCATCGACTAAATTACAAAATTCGATATCTTTATTTTTCACACTGCGACAGTTTACCTGCAACAGCCTTGTGAAGCCTTTCCTCACCTGAACATTTATGGTGTCCACTTTTCGGACCAGCCTCGCCGTTTTCTCCGTCTCCTCCCACGTCGTCGTCGTCGTCGCCGTCGTCGTCGTATCCTCCGTCGCCGTTGTCTCTGCCGTCGTTGCTGTCTCTGCCACCACTGCCGTCTCCGCCGCCACCGTCGACACCGACGCCGCCGTCAACTCCACCGCCGTCGCCTCCATCGCCACTGTTGTGGCCGTCACCGCCACCGTCATCGTCATCGTCATCGTCATCGTCATCGTCGCCGCCGCCGCCGCCGTCACGATAACAGTTGCCGTCATTTTCATGTTTGCCACTAAATTGTCACGACTTGAGTCTAAAGCAATCATATATTAAACCAATTATGAAATATATGAAAACAATTTCTCTAAACATCAGAAAAATAATGGATTAAATGCCGTCAATAATTGACTGAACTTTTGTACTTTCAATAACAATGGAAATTCATAATATTACGTTGCAGCGAGTCGGACGAAGACAGAATATTGGGTTGCTCTGGAGACTCCCTCGGACACCGTGCAGCGGCAGCCAGCGCTACCCGCCTGGTTGCCCAAATAAAAAGACATATGTTTGCCGTGTTAAATCGAAGAGTAAATGCAGTAAATCCAGAAACACAGCCAAGACCACGGTGCAATACCTGGCAAGGAACCAGGCATCAGAGAGAGCGGCAGTTGGACGCTCTTTGGTTTCAAATGATTTCATATAATCAATATTGCTGCAATATCTTGAATATTGATGAATGTCTCTAAAAAGGAAAATATATATTCTTAAGATATTATGAGATCTTATTCGATTATATGAGGGTTGAGCAACCTAAGCACGAGCCGCCACTTGACGAAAACTGTGACGGTTAGTTAGACGTGACTTGTCAAGAAGCATTCTTTCATCATTCACCCATGTTTCTAAATAATTTATAAACATACTGGAATGAAAAGCGTGGATTTCAATAACCACACGCCCCTCGGTTTTTTAAACTTTTAGTGAATAGCTCGACCCGAACCTGTCGCAGCCGGGTGCAGAGTGAGAAGAACTGAATTAAAATTGAAAGGAGGAAAGAGAAGCTGTGACATATTAGTGCGAGAGCCACTTGCAGCCTTTACAATGCTTTGCTCACCAATTTCACCATAATGTTTCGCGTAAAAATGAGCCTTCTGATCCGGTATTTCTACTCTTCTCTACCTTGTACACTCTTCGCTCTCTCTATTGCTCCACAATGGCCGGGTGAAGGGTAAGAGTTCTAAATCGTAATTAAATTTGAGACCACCTCTAAAATGTTCACTACCTGTACACCATACAGTTTGCATGCTTGTTCCAATATTTTGCTTTTTCGTATACGTAACAGTAATGGTTGGCCAAAAATGAGGGCTGCAGCTTCATGAAATATCGGAGATGTAAATAGAGAATGAATGTCATGATTTTTATTGTATTTTGATATTTTTATTTGTGTTTATCTCATGCGGTAACAGTGGAGCTGTAAGATTGGATAAGGTGAATTATTGAAGCAAAATGGTAATATTTCGGAACGATGAACATGTTTGGCATTCAAGTAGTTCAAATTTAGATAAGAAAAAAACGTACGTAAATTTTCATACCTTTGAATCCTGTATGGGTAAGTCTGTCGACTTACATAATATAAATTTATCTTAGAGCAATTCCATTTTGAAACTTGATGGGAATAAGAATAAACTGTGAATAATAGAAAAAATAGAGTTAAGCCGGAGTATGCGAAAATAAATAGTTAGATTTTCAAATAGTATAGTAAAGTTATGAGTAAAAGAGAAATCGTGAGTTGCAGTAGAAAGACGCTCAAAAATTACACTTTGGTAATTTTCGAAAAATCTGGAATTTTAATGAACATGAGACCTACACCATTCTCTTAAGCGTCCTTTTAATTATCCGAGGACTAAGTTTAATAAACAAATTTTGAGAAAATTTTGAAAATGTTTTGAGATTTAATGCAAGTACCTTAAAAAAATCAAAATATCCGTTTGAAACTCCCAAAGCCTTGAGCTCGTTCAGATTCAGAGAAAGTTATGTAATAGTGCGCCGGTAAACGGCGAATGTTCGGCAGAAAAACTCTTATTGACGAGCCCTAGCAGCGAAAAAGTGCCTCTAACACGTCGTTTAGACAGAATCCATGTTCAGTGGATTCTTGATATCGAAAAATCGATTGATGGCAAAGCGTCTGTCCATCCGTCTGCCTGTCCGTCTCTGTGAACAACATTACCGGCCAAACCGTTCAGCCACTTTTTTCCAAATTTGATATTCGTGAATCGATTTGGCTAATGTTGCGGCCTTGAATTTGAAATCGATATTTTTATATTAGATGATACTTTACATAAAGCCCCTGGGACATTTTCAAAAAAGTCTCCAAATAGTTTCATTAAATTTTGTTGTCGGATAGTGTGAAGTGGGATTAAGAGAACTGTGTAAACTTCAGTTTAGTTAAGAGCCCTGATTTTTCGAAAATTGCAAAATTTTTTGGTGTCTTTAACTTCAGTCGTGAAGAAAAATTTTTTAATGAAATGTGTTTATCAAAAAATCTTCAAATTAGATGTTCAAATTTTTAGAAATATTGATATCTTTTGCGTAATTTGACCTCAAAGTCAATTTTAAAATTTTATTCAATTATTTTCTCAGAAACGGCTCTAATTTGTCCTTTAAATTTTTTCACTTGTGTAGCAAAGAACAGTAAGAAAAGACGAGGAGGTATCATTTTCGACGGACTCTATTTCCGAAAATTGGAATAATTCGAAATGGTAAATTCGAATTTCCCGCGATTTATCCTTCGATTGGAGACAGTGTGGCCGTTGGCAGTGCGGCCATTTGTTTGGACAAATACTATAGAGATATTCTCTACAGTATTTGGTTTGGAGGCAGTTGGCAGGTTGTCTTGAGCAGAAAAATAATGTTTAATATTATTGCATTATTGAATCTATTTTAAATTGAGTAATTTAATTGAGTTAAATGTGATAACGAATATATCATTTTACTTTGCGTAATAAGATGTGGGAATGGCGAGTAATACGCGTAAAAATGGCTAGTATTGAAGAATATAACAATAGTATATTTTATTATTCTATTTTTCTACCCGTTTTCATTTTGTTGTTACATGCATATTTTCAAAATGTGTATCATATTTGAATTAGCGGTCATTGTTGCTTTTCCAACCCATTGTTGCAAAGCCGCACTTTTAACAGAAGGCAATAATGACGACCGCCTTTGGTTCGTGTAAATATAAACTAATAATTTTATTTACGGCTAAAATAGGCATCGCGCATTTTGGTACATTGGTTGGTACATTTATGTAGGACGTGGTTACACTGAATTCAATGGCAGAAAGCTGTTTTCGTTTAAACATTTGAATAAAAAGAATACATGCATTTTGCCAGTTTTATTCTTTAAGAATTTTTCAAATGATAGTTAAATTATAAGAAAGAAGTTGTCATATACATAACCGTTAACAATATCGCGAGAAAGTTTTACCTCCGCTAGTTTTACTCGCTACAGCATTACATATCTTGCTCTATTCTTTGAGTAGTATGTGAAGAAAGAAAAATTATGATAGAGGAAGTAATTTACTACATACAGGGACAATATTTAAAAACTTTCTTAATATCAGGGTCCCATTATTCGAAAATTTTTGCAAATACTCTCCACTTTCCTGTGCAGCCTTATACTAGAATTTAGGTAACTATGCACATGACGTAAGTCAGTTATTTACAGTTTCATCCAATCGGGAGCTGAAATCGTTCTCGTAGGGACGTCCCCGTAGCGATATACAAGCTCCCGATTGGATGAAACCGCAACAGCTGCTTTACGTTAGGTACACGACTAAAAAAAATTTTACTATACAGTACTTTTCTTTACTACGTAAGTATGAAATACGCGAGAAAGTAAAGAAAGTACCTGAAAAAATGTCGTTCTGTACAATCACAGCTGATACCTGAGAAAACTGACACCTGTTTAATCAAATCTTAAGTACTAAATGCAGTATGGTGGTTTTAGCTGGGTTATAGACCAAAAGTATTGGATCTTATATTACTATAGAATGATAGTACTACTAGTGGTCACTAGTCAACTAGATACGGCTAGACATGAACCTACGATGCGAGGAGATGCTTCTTGTATCATCTTGGCATTATGCATCAACCCCAGAAGCATTGACTTAACATATTGAGACACCATTCTTTAAAAAAGATAATAATATTGTGTCCATTGGGCCTCTCGTTAGTAATGTCGTTGTTGGTGGATAAATGTCGGAATTGGAAGTGAATCATGCAAAAAGTAATGATAAATTATCTATCGTTCGCGTGCTGGAGTCGAAAAAAGTATCCTACTTTCCCGAAGCATAAATTGAGGTTAGACTTTCTCGTTTTCTCCGGAGAAAGGAGACCAGTAACCGTCAGTAACTGTATACCGTTTGTTAATCCCATATAAACGCACTGCTGCTAAAATGTATCCCAATTTATTAAAGCTGGGGTTTATTTTGATGACTTTTTTTATGGTGGTAATGGGTGGATTAATAAATACAGTTGAGCAACATTTGCCATTATTTATTGTACAAACTTTTAGGTACGGAAAATGTGCATATCAAGGAAAATCTTCATTTTTCATCAAGCCAATTGAAGTTCCAAAAAGGCAGGTAGTGTGCAATAATTTAATAAGTCTCACAAATTATAAATTTGAATGTGTTAATTAATGTCACTTTTGTGCTTTCAGATGGTTTGGTCATTTTTATATCTTTGCTGCAATATTTACAACATTAGCTGCAATAGTTGTTTGTAATGTATACATATTTGGAGCAAAACTTGAGCCATGGCTATTGATTTGTTTAGATTTATTAGCAAGTGGCAGAAATGCATCAGGTAATCTTTATTTTACTGAGCTGTTTGCTTTAAATATTGAAATAACAAGTAATATGTAACTCTAATTTGGCAGTATTGAGATTATCATGTAATATTTATCACTTTTCTAGTGAGTGCTGTATCTACAATCACAGCTCTGCTGCTTTTAACAGTCCAGGCTTGGCATAGATTTCATGAAACATTGTTTGTTAGTGTGTTTTCTGATGTGAAGATGAACATCGTTCATTATTTGGTTGGATACATTCATTACTTTGGTTCAGTTGCAGCAATCTTAGCTGAGTCACATGGCTTCATTTATTTGGAAGGTAATAATTAGACCAGTTTAACAAAGGTGATTCTCAGATGGTACCAAAGTATGAATCAACTCATAAAACTCCCTTTTCTTCACTTTCAAAATTTTTTTTTAAATTTTGAAACAATAAAAATTAAAGTTAAATGTTTTTGCATTTCTGCTAAAATATTGTTAAGTTTATGATTTCTAACAGATCCAACAATTAAATTCTCATTTAATAACACCCACATTAAATTTATGTGTGTGTAATAGAGCATTGCATTTATGCTGCTACTTTTACAACTTGAATGATTGGTTGGCATATGATCAGATTTGGTAAGATGGTATAATTAATAGCGACTTTTAGTATCACTATACCCATACAATATCATTTTTTTAAAGCTTTGTTCAAAATGTCAGATTACTGAGACCACTGCATTATCATTTTAAATCACCAACAATTGCTAAGTAATACAGAGTAATGAGGTGTGTCTGTTGTTTTTGTTGAAGAAATACTAGTAATATGTTTCTAAAATGTAGCCAAAAAAGTTTAAATTTATTTTATTATATGTTTTTGTTATTATATTTTGTTATATGTACTATATTCCAATGCAATTCTAATTAAGGATTGCATTGGAATATAATTTGGAGGGTGGGAAGAGAAAGAGAGGGATCGTTGGATCTTGTTGCATGCAAACAAGTTTATTCTTCAAATGAACTCTCTTTGATATTAATCAACCGTATTAGTTTGTTAATATATAGTGTATTGTTTATATGTAATTTAAATACGCATGTATAGATGTACATTTTTATGTGACAAACCTTCATATATAATTTAATTTTTCTTTTTTTATGTAAATTTTACGGTATTTTCATTTTGTCTGAATCTTTTTAATTGTTAAACTTGTATAAGTGAATTTTCAAGTTCATTCTTTCTGATGTCATTTCTTTAATTTCTTTATCTAATCATCCAAATTTCCACTTATCTGAATCGACCTGATTCCTCTATAATTCAGGTAATTGTTCTATTTTATATAAATGTATGTATAGTCTGATGTAACACTACTGAGCATTCATGGAATGGACAATGATTAACATCACTTTGTAATTTTTCAGAGACTGTTCCTCAAATTGCTTTGAAGGATGTGAGTTTTTTGAATGTTAGTGGATGTATTTTATTTTTATGGGCTTGTTATCAGCAAAGCAAAATGGGTTTTATTCTAGCTAATTTGAGAAAAAACAACAAAGGTATTTAAAATTCACTTAATTATCTCATTATAAGGATAAATTGAGGTGTGAATTATTCCATGTGCAAATGTTGTAGGTGAAGTTATCAGTGTGAAGCACAAAATACCTCATGGTGACATGTTTGAATATGTTTCATCTCCACATTTATTGTGTGAAATTTTAATGTACCTGGGTCTCACATTTGTAATGTGGGGAGCATCCATTTGGCCATGGGTTTTCTTTTGGGTGCTGACAAATCAGGTATGGTTTATTGCTGTTGGTTTTCACATTAGTGTATCATCTGTTTTGAAACACAAAATATTTTTAAAATGATTGACAAATTATTACTCAAAAAGTGGTATTGATATTTAACTGCTAAGGAAATCAACAATTTGTTTTTATTTTTACTATATTATGAAACAGTTGATAAGTCAAGCAGGAAATGACACGCCTAGGGCAAGAGTAATATTAGCACTTTCATAGTAGTATACAGGAAGGGGTTCCAAGGTTTCCTAAAAATTTTGGAAGGGGTCCCATAGTCCCAGGGAATAAACAATGTTTCTTTCAAAATACTTACTTAATATGTAAAAAATTAACATAATATATAAAAATTGTGCCTGGAAAAAAAAATAATAAAAAATCAGCAATCCACAAGGTAACTCAGGGAAGTTGCTTGGGAGGAGTGTGAAGGTAAATAAATACATTGATGATGAAACATGAAAGAACACTACATCAATATCATACATATAGTAACTGTGTCCATGCATCCACAACTCACTATTAGACCTCCCAGTCAGAACATTTTTGACAAGAAAATATCCTGGGGTGCTGTGTTAGGTTAATGTTTAAAAGACGACATTTTTTTTACATGAAATAAACATACAACATAAGACTTGCTGCTGTATTTCTCTTGCAAGGGAAAGGATCCGCAAGTTATTAAATTTCCATGTGATTCTCCTACAAACTTACACACATACACGTGGTACTGAAAACGTTGTCATAAATTGAATCTAAATTGAGAGATTGGAATTTTTTTAAATTTACCAAATGGATTCAGAATATTAATAGCTTAAATGAATAAATGATATTGCCCTTTTAATTTATTATTTAGCACTTCTACATTTTTTTTTCAGGTTGAATCAGCCTTACTCACCCATCAGTGGTATAAAACAACATTCAGTAATTATCCTAGCCAAAGAAAGGCTATTTTTCCATTTATTGTGTGAAATATGTTGTTTGTATTATGTTATATAAATGAAGCCTTGAAAGGTCAAAAACCTCACAAATTTGTTGGTTATTGTGATGAATGAGTGTCATTTATTCAAATTAAGTAAATGATGTACAATTTTAGTTTTAAACACAACCTTTTGTATTGAAATAAATGTGGTTAAGACACATTATTTTAACAATCAAGCATTTGTATTGTCAATTTAAAAGTCTCAGGTATATCCATGTGACACTTGTCTTATTTTGGAGCTTGATTTACTGTCCATATCACTAAATTATTTCTATTTTTTAGCTTATTCGTTTCTTCTTTGTAAGACATGAAATAAAATGACTATTGCATTTACTAAAAGTAAAAATGAAAGAAACACTTAAATAAAAAGACTGAATGTTTTCAAGAAATTGCTACTTATCTTCAGTAAGATTTCACTGAAAACATGTACAAGCATGTCAATAACATAATTGTAATAATATAAAATGTATGTATTGTTGAAATCATTTGTTGTTTATGTTGTAGTTATTTAATTTTCTAAGAATATTTGAAAAATATTGTGTAAGTTTTTAAATAAATGTATATTTGATATCTGTTATCATTTCTCAAATGATTTTCATTTTCTTCTATCATATTAAAATTACCCATACCTCTGATCATTTTCATGCATTATAATGTGATCTGGGCAAGCATTCGTGATTCAACCTTCTAGCATCCACAATGCGGAGAAAATATGGTTGTTTAAACGTGATCTTGGGATAATAAGTGAAACACCCCCCAAATGTTTGAGATCCCAATAAGGTGAGGTGCCATACTCCTTTGCACTACTTTACAGTCGTTTTGTCCACAAAAACTGCTTTTCTTATACCTTGTATTTGACCATAGCTGTTATGGCAGGGCAGCCTTTTAGATCAGACAAAAATTATTTCAATTGCTCTTTAAAGTTTTGTACACTTGCTAAGCCACATTGCTCCTCACAAAAACAAATATGACACCAACTAACTCATTTGTGCAACAATTAGACTGTGCTTCAAACAAAAACAAATTAGAGCTGGCTTAATCCGAATTTGACCTAGGCCTTCTTAAAGATAAGAAATCACAACTTCTTTTGTTTCATGACATTGCAATATTTGAGCACTCATATATGGATCAGTCATGCGATCTATAATTTTAATTTTCTAATCTTCATTGGGGCCCTGAATTTTTTTTTTTTTTTTTTTTCAAAACATATAATAAATATATCTGATTCTAATCCAAATTCACTGCTCTTACGTTATTTGTGTGCATAGAGAAATTAACTCAGTACATTGATTTTGAAAAACAAAACACAAAAAGATACTAGAGTAAAGTTTTTCAATACTGTGGTTGTGCCCATTTTAACATACGAAAATGAAGCTAGAGTAATGTCAGAGAAAAATCAAAAATTAAGGCAGCAGAAATTAAATTTATTCGAAGCACATTAGGATATACAATTTTAGATAAAAAAAAGAAATAATGATCTAAGGGGGAGAACTCGGGATAGAACAAGCTGGTCAAAAATAACAAGAAATGGTGTGAACATCTAAGAAGATTGCCAAGCAGCAGACTTCCAGCTTTGGCAATGCAATATTAACCAAAAGCTGGTCAACCACACGTGACGTTGGAAGACCATGTGCTAAATGGGCGCTGGAACAGGTTGATGAACCTAATCCGTGATTAGAAGAAGAGACATTGATGGTGGGCTGTATGAATTCTTTCTGAAATAAGTTGTCTTCCATTGTTCTCCAGGCCCGAATTCATAGTCGTCACTTATAGGATAAGCGAACCCTTAAGTGATAAGGCTCCTATTTTATCTGAATGCCCTTGGTGGCAGTGATTAACAAGTAGAGGTATTCTCATGAATTTCACAAACTTGTCCTGAGAGTTGTGATTCTTCCTATATTTAGTTTTATTTAACACACACACACACCAAAAGAAAGTGTGGTTGAAAAGTACTGTTGGTGCAGTATACATCAAATAAACTGGAATAAACATTTATAGAATACACTTGGGATGTTAAAAAAATATTTATATACCTAATAGAATGAAGACCGCAGGAAGCCTCCTTTTTATTCCCTTGTACTTCAAAAGCTCAAAATATTACAGACTCTATTATATTAATAAATGTAAGGAAATATCCTTCTTTGTACACACAAAGTCATCGTACATTACTTCATTTATTATGACATAAATATAAGCTAAAATTATGTAAGAGTGCTAGAACCTATAGTGAAGTATGGAACTGAATGTCTAGTCTTAAATAAAAATGATACAAATCTATTAGGTGTTCGAGAGAAAAATCTTGAGAAGAATATATTGGCCAGTGCAAGTCAGTAACAAATAGAGAATCCAACAAAACAGAGATAAAAGAGTTATTCAATAGCAACATAATTGTGAAAGAAATCAAACTGGCTAGACTAAGGTGGCTTGGCCATATCTGTTGCTTGCTGTAATCAACTGTGTGTAAAGAATTGACTTATGTGATATGTTAGTGCCCACAGAGTTGGAAGACCACCCCTAAGATGGCTGGATGGTGTTGTGACCTATGCTGAAATGTATAGGAGTGAACAATTTGAAGAGGAAGGTACAGGATAGACATACATGGAATGAAATCCTGAAGGAGGCCCAAGTTCACTTATGGACTGTAGAAGAAGAAGATTACATCATTAATACCATTTAAGGTTGCCATTTGTTTCATTTACTGCTTTCAGTGTGTTTGTGTCAAGGATTTCCAATTTTGCTGTAATTGCAGTGTGATTCTCATAGGGGAACTTGTTAAAAACCATTACAAACAGTCTTTTGGTAAAAATCCAATGCAATAGAGCTAATACTAGTTGAGGAATGCTTTATTCCTAATTTTAGATTTCATGCAGAAAGAAAAATAAATTTCGGTTTTTGGATCCAAAAAAATATTGCGGTCTAGAAAATTGCATTATTACTTCTTAGGATTGCTAGCATTCCAAATAATGGTCATTACTCCAAAAGTAAGTTACAGTATGGAAAGTACAACAAAGAATGATTTCTGCTCTTTGTTGTGATTTCACCTGAATATTATCAGCTTGAATAATGCCAAAGTTGACGAACGTAAGAACTGTCCCATCCAAAGAGATGGTAATTTTCTGGAAGGGAGCTAAGATTTACCAATTTTAAAACATAAAGGGAAAATTGCATATTGGAAAAATTATTGGAATTTACAAAAATCTTCCGGTCTGATAACAATCCCCTATACGGAGGTCGTTCGATAAGTAACTTGGTTTGCATACTAAGAGATGACGAAAGCACCTTCTATGAATTTTAATTTAAAGCTACAACAATATACGGTAAAATTTCATTGTTGCAAGTCATTATCACTCTAGCTCATTGTTGGACAGCGATTTGAACATGCCATGAAAGGATAGCGCCTACATTGGGTGATTCATGCCCTTCATATGAGACGGTGTGACTGGGTCAACGAATTTAAGTGAGGCAGGACAAACATCGAAGAAGCCCCAAGACCTGGGGCTCCAAAAACAGCTGTGATGCCAAAAAACATCCGACAAAATCCATGATATTGTTTTAGCAGACAGACGAGTGAAAGTGCGCGAGTTAGCAGAGGTCACATGTATCTCAAATAAGCGAGTGCATTTTATTTTGCACTATGAATAAGCTTCGCGCAAGATGGGTGCCGCTATTGCTGACTGCAGAGATGAAACATGTCTGGTGTTTGCAGCTATTCAAGCAAAACCCAGCGAATTTTTTGCGTCGTTTTGTTACTATGAATGAAACTTGGATTCACATTACACTCCAGAAAAAAAGCAGCAGTCAAAACAATGAGTTGCAAGAGGAGAACCGCCTCCGAAGAAGGCCAAATGCAATCCATCAGCAGGGAAGGTGATGGTGTTAGTCTTTTGGGACGCTAAAGGTATTCTTCTTATAGACTACCTGAAAAAGGGAAAAACCATCACTGGAAAATACTATGCATCACTTCTGGACAAACTCAAGGAAGCTATTGCAGATAAACGTCCTGGAATGTCAAGAAAAAAGTGTTGTTCCATCACGATAATGCCCCAGCACATTCAAGCCATATCGCCCAGCAAAAATTCACTGATTTGCCCCCTCCAAATATCATTTGTTCCCAAAATTAAAAACTTTCCTAGCTGGGCAAAAATTTGTTAGCAAAGAAGCCATCCAGATAGTCAATGACTATTTCGAGGGTCTTGAAGAAAATCACCTTAGAGAAGGGATCCTGAACCTGGAGAAACGTTGGGTGAAGTGTGCTGAACTTCTAGGGGATTATATCGAAAAATAAGATAAGTTACAAAACTCAGATCATTGTTTTTCATATCGAAACAAGTTACTTATCGAACGTCCCACGTACATACATATAACTATTCATAATCTTGTCCAGAAACTCAGTGCTTTACCAGTCCTAAATTCAAGGGCTCAATGTTCTTTCTCATTACATTGCAAAAAACAACTTGGCTTTGAGCAATGATGTTTGAGAAAAGATTAATCCGATTGGTGTTTCATATACCCTCCATGATACTGTATTGAAGGCAGAAAATGTGGATGTCCGATTTTCAAAAATGTGAAACCAGAGAATCTATATTACTAATTTCCAATACATGCAGAATTTGAAAGAAAATTATGTAGCTTCTGGCCTTTCAAGAAACAGTTGCAATTGTGACTGAAAAATGCATATGTTTTATTATTATTTCTCTCATTCTCATATGTACCAACAGAATTCTCATACTGGATGTGAGAATGTATAAAGAAGAGTTGAACTGGATATCTGTCAATACTATATTACATTACTGCCGGACTCCTGAATTCAGTTTTTGATAAACTATTTATTGTAATCTTATATGACAAAATTTTACTTATTCTTGAGAAGTCTGAGAGCTACTTTTTTTGTATTGTAAAAGTCTAAAAGACTTAAGATGTAATACATGTCTTACATTTTCACACCTCCAATACATTTTTAATTTGTTAAATGTATGCAATATCACATTTTTATTTAAATTGTATATGGTCACATCTGATAATGGAATTAAAAATTTATTACATTAAACCAACCTTTTGCAACTTTAAATTCAATAGCAAATAAGAATTATTTTTAATTTAAAACAATAAAGTGCTAAAGTTCAATATTGAGTATTTTGTTAGAGAATTATAAAATAAGTAATTTTCCTTAAATTTTATTTTCAATTTATATACTCATTGTAGAGTTAAAATAAATTATAAACAAATGCTTTGCGTAGAATCCCTCCCCAACACATTCATCTCAGAAAAAACAGTAGCCTCTTCTAACTCACCATGGGCCAAGAAATCTGACTATTTTTTTCTGCTTTAAGGCAACATGTAAATTTTTTAAATAGTTTCGGGAAGAAATTTTAAAAAATGTAAGCTTATAGCGCAATGACGAAGTCCTTCCTGAATTCAACGCCCTATCAATCATCCAAATCGGTTGAATAAGCGCTTCCTTAAGTGAAATTTGGAAAAATACTATACCCCCTCGCCCATGCCGTGCCCGCTACTAGCGGCACGGCGGGCACGGAAGCATTCCGTAAGAGGTAGGAAGCGCAACGGCGACAAGCGAGCAGTTCTCTTGTGGGCCGACTGGGATCGACAGATAATGCTTTCATTATTTTCCGCATCACAACATTAGTTTTACTTGTATACGTATGTATGTATGTATGGAGAAATATTCGTAGTATAGAGAAAGTTATGTAATGCTGCCGAAAATCGATTTCCAGATTTCAGCAGAAAGGAATGTTTCGGGGCCCTCTGATACCGAAAAGTGATCTTCCCTCTCGCAAAAGTCAGACCGTCTGTGAACAACACTAGCACCTAAACTATTCCTAGAATTTTTGTCTAAAATGATTGTTCCCCGGTCGATCTGGCCTGTCTGAAAACTTAGAGGGTTTGGGAAAGGTTCTTTAAAATCTCGGGATACTTAGATGAAGTCCCTGAGACATTTTCTAAATTTCCTCAAAAATGACTCCTAATTTTTTCTTCAAATTTGTTGTAAGAATAGATTGAAATGCGCTCCTAAAGATGGCGTAGGTCCGAATTTTTCTGTATACTTTGAATTTTTGAAAGTTACAAATGTGAAATTTTTTTTTTGCCGTCTCCTCACAACTTCAGTGTTAAAGATAGGTATTTATTCTTCAAATGAGATTTATTCTCCCTAATTAAGTTTTTTCATTGATGTCATTCACATTTCTTTGAAACTTTTTAGAGGTTTTCGCTCAATATTGCGTGAAATTTGTGCATTACAAAAAATATCGAAAACAAAAATGTCTGAAAAATGGCTTCAATTTTTTCTTTAAAATAGCATAACAAAGTTTAAAAAAATTAAATTAAACTCTAAATTTGTCTCTTTTGTTGCTCATTTGTTACGCAAAACAATTATCACTCTTCATTTGACCCTATAAATATTCGGCTAACTTTACATCAAGCTAGCACCACAGTTTCCAAACAAACAAGAAATTAGAGATAAAAAAATAATTATATGGGAATTTGTCACTTTTGTGTTGCTCAGTAGTACCCGAAAAAGTTGTTCTTCAAATACCACCTAATATCAACAGTGCGAAATATCGCCAAAATACCGGAAATACGAAGTTTCCCCCTTATGCGACGGGTGACGGTGAAGGGACGACTGTCCATTGCATACAGGTGCCACGGAACAATAACATACATCGTGATTACTCCACCTAGTTTGTACTGAGCACATTGAATGAGACGCGCAGAATAAATTAAGATTTTGGCCTCACATAAAAATATGAAGTTTCACAATCATTATACCTGTAGGAGAATCAGAAGATTTTGAAGTTTAAGGGACGAGTATATACATTTTACTTTCGTTTTTCTCCAATAAGTCGAGCGTATTATTATGTATGTACGAGGGAGCCCTTTTATTGCGTTCCTTTCAAGCATTCAATTTCTCTGATAAAAATACAGAGAGATTATAAGAGACAAAAACATAAACAGCCTGGCCCGCAAATTCAGCTTCCTCCCCCGGGGACTAGCCACACGCCGCCGCGCCGAGAGGACCCTCAAGGGGTGGGTGACGCAACGGAGTGGAAGGGAGCAGGGGAACGTGGTGTTTCCCCACATTTCACTTTCAGACGCCCCTCTTCATGGGATTTGCATGATTGACACGGCGTTGGATTCAGGAAGCTTGCCGCCGTCGCGCTCGAAGTCCAGCACTAATTTCAAATTCGAGTTTTTGTTAGGTTCTTGGAAATAAGGAATTTGTAGTGTAAATTCTATTTTAAAAGGCGTCAAATACCGTCTAGATATCGAAAATTGGGGCCAGTGGTTCAGACGTTATCGGTAAATTCTCGTGGTAGTGCTGCGATCTATAGAATTTTCCTACAAGTATTTTTCGGTACATTTAGCCTTAAGATTAGAATGATAACATGATGTTGACACAATTAGCTCTGTGATGGGTAACTCCTGCACGGTTTTTTAACATTCTATTTTAAATGCATGGTAATAAAGAATGTAAGAATTGTACTTACACACTTTATGAGTTGAAATGCTTTTTTTGAACATGTGAATTAAAAAGTTATTTTGGAGATGTAAAAAGGACCATTCCAAGCTAGTTAAAAAAAAAAAAGACTCCCACTCAAAACTTCGTGGATATTGATGAAATTTTGTAGGCTAAGATGTCTCAAAGGAACTTCTATGAAGTTATAGCAGTTTGCTGGACCACATGCAGGGTCTGTACAGTTCATATGTATGTAGAAAATATGTATCTACTTAAGGCTAAATGCACCGAAAAATACTTGTAGGAAAATTCAATAGATCGCAGGACTATCACAAGGGAATTTACCAATAACGTCTGAACCAATTGTCCGATTTTCGATTTGTAAACGGCATTTGACGCCTTTTTAAAATATAATTTACGCTACGAAGCCCGTTTTCCAAAAATCTAGCAAAATCTCGAATTTGAAATTAGTTCTCCAACTTCCGAGAAAAAAAATAAAAATGTGGGCTTATAGCGCGATGGCGACATGCTTCATGAATCCAACGCAGTGACAATCATGCAAATCGGACGAATAGGAGCGTCGTAAAGTGAAATTTACGAAAACACCTCGCCCCCCTTCCCCTTCTTCGTCGTTGTGTCACCCACCCGATTGTTGTGGGCCCTCTGTCGGCGCGGGGGCACGACCAGGCCAGGCGGCGTGCGGCCAGCCCCGGCGGAGCAGGCGGGACACGCAAGCCAGTCAGTCGGTTTCGGCTTTCGTCTCTTTGCATCTCAGTCTATTTTTCCACATACCAAATTAGAGATGCTATACTACCATTACTGACTGAGGTAAACGGTCTGTAATAGTAGCACATAACTGTATTTTTCACATATTTCCGTCTTCCTTCGAATACGATTTTAAAATTGTTTGAGGAAATACTCAAAATATCGATTCCGATTTGAAACTGTTTTTTTAAAAAAATGAACTAATTTTGTAAATATAACCATTATTCCATCTCTTCACATCTTATTTTAGATATATTTTACATCTAAGGTTTTCTGTTAACATTCTACCTTTCTCTAAGATCTTCCGGGTTCAAATACTGGAAAGAATGTGCGGAGTACACGCACGAGCTCTTTTATCCTACAACTCGATTTTTGATCCAGTAATGAAATAAACAATGACATATGTATTGGACAATGAACAAACAAAACCAAATATACAAACAGAAATAGATTCTTTATTGAAGAGTTTAAAAATAACAGTTGAAACACTTGGGAGTGCAACACATCACACTCCTACAGTCAGCCGGTGCCACTGGTGCACATGTATAAATGAAAAGAACATTTTCATAGATGAATTGCAATTTATACCTCCCCCCCCCCCCACCTTCCTCTCTCCTAGGGACAACCCACGACATAAAATGTTATGTTCTCAGAACTAGTTACTTCAGACTACAGAGACTACTATACATATTGAAATTGAACCGTAATACTATATCTACATTAAATATCAAAACATATTAATTAAAAAGCTTCTTGTCACCCCAGATGACATTTCTGTCCTGGTTTGACCCATTCTGTTGCAAGGGGAATTGGTATATTGTTTAAGGATTAGTGAAAGATTATCACTAATAGAAACAACACATAACAAAACAACAATTTATTAACACCTGAGCCAACATTCAATGATTTCAATTCCAGCAAATAATGTATTGAACACCAACATTAGCAAAAGTTCATTTAAAATCCTCAGTTATTTTACACATATAAATACTGCGAAGAACAGTGGAAATATTCTAGACCTGGTACCTATTAATTCTGGATTCCATAATAAGTACATGATCTGTTAAATTATTACAAAATTTACATTTCATAGAGAGAAAAAAAGAACACAGTTTTTGTCTAATAAAAACCATAATGACAGATCTCGTGCATTTGAAAGCTACGTATATTTGCACAGAAATAAACAATTAGTAATTGAATAATTATGATGAATACTGAGGAATATTTAATTAATTTGTATAAAACATGAAGCCCCAACATGAGAGTTTAAGAACTAAAACCTATTTAACCTTGCTTGAAAATTCTGTGAATGAAATAATTTTGTAGATGGATTTTCGGAATGATAGATCACTTGAACAGAAAGCTGAAAACAGAAATAATTATACTTATAATACAAGTTAATACAACAGTTTATCTAAAAGTGAATAAAAGGGACAGATTTACATAGAGCTAATATTTCTAATATTTCACTACTGCAATTTCACTTCAAAATAGTTTTTTGAAATTGATTATTGTCCAATTTAAGTTGAGTGACTTCTGGCAGATTATCAGCTGGACATGGTTTTCCAATGGTAGCTTTGAAGCTCCTGATTGGAAAACTACATCACAACTGATGATTTGTTAGAAGTCACTATTTAAATCATACAATCTGAATCAAAACTGTTTCTCCTATGTAAGTAATACATATTTAAAGACTAAAACACACAAGCATAATCATCATCCAAGAATGCGATAAGAAATGTAACCGAAGAGGCATAGAAAATTCTTAAATCCAGGTGTTCGAAAACGGATATCTGACAGATCTAGGTTGTGAATACACAATTTGTACTGATAGTTATCATAGCTTTGAGATAAGATATGCAAAACATACAGTATAAATAAAAATATGGAAATTAATACTACTCTTTGAAATTTCGTAGAGTGGTATAGTAAGAGAGTTAGGTGCCAAATGGATCTTCTGTATGTGAAAACAGTCCGAAGCGGTGCAAGTGGGTAAATACATTTTACAGGGCATATTTTAGTGCATATTTGTGATTTTTGTACTGCATAAAAAATAAAAGTATATTTTATAGATTTTTAGTACGCAAAAAATTAAGACCGAACTAATGGGATATCATAACTGGAGGGCGGATTTTACCCTTTGCCTATTTTATTCCTCATGAGTAAAGAATATGCTTTTTGCAAGAAAACACGATTCAGGCTGCAAAAAGGTATATATGAAGTTTTATAGTGCATATTTTTGCAATAGGTGCACATATCAGTAATTTGTGCATATCGATGCCTATTTGGATATTGTTGACCACTTTCAGTAGCTTTAGAACTGTATGATTCATTTACAAAAGAGGTTATACCAGGAATCATTGAACAAACAGTAGCAACAATGATTGAAGAAGTAGAGAGAGCCAGAAATCCCAGCATTAAATTTATTTGTGATGTAAGTGAAGTACTAACTGAAATATCTGACAAGGAACTGCAGAGTTATTCTCTTGCTGAACTGGCTTCATATAAATTCTGCCCCTTAACTTCTTGTGAAGTGGAACATGTGTATTCTGGTTACAAAAACTTTCTAATAGACAAAAGAAAATATATGTCAGTAGAAAACATTAAAAAAAAACAATTCGTTTGGTTATTGTGACAATGTGTGAAAGTAAATGTACCATGATTGAATAAAATCATTTAATATTATGTTTTAAGTAATCTATTGATAATGCATCCTCATTTCTTGTGCACATTTTACAGAGTTTAAGAGCATAAATGCATGCATAGTTTGACGATTTCAAGTGCATATTAATCCGCCCTCTAATCATGACATGACAGCTAATCCTCCAGTAGAGTGCACAACAGGCAGGAATGCCTTCCCTTCCTCCCCAACTGACAACCATATTCTTAATATTATTTGCACTTTATGAACAAATTTGTTGCACTCCCAGGACATTCAAAAGACTGGGAAATACATTGCATTGCTTGAAGCAGATTGTATTTTGCTTTTAAAGTTGCTGAGGTCCCGAGATACTGGTTCTGTTGCTTTTGTTGCAACCTGAGTAGCAAACTATATTTAACCATCACCTAATGTCTTAATAAATTGAAAGGGATGATGATGATTATAAAGTTAAATAGTTATTGATGTAACTAGTTAGTTAAGTAACATTTAGTTACAGAAAGTCTTTATTGTACAAATGAAATATTGAGACTTGAAATGCACATTCTAGCATTTTGAAACGAGAAGATTAGACACACTTTCATATGAGTTGCATATATTACCTTTTTTAGCACAAATTCATGGAAACTCCCATGTATATTCTCAAAATGCAAGTTGGCAGCCATATTAATTCATGTCACTCCAGTTTTATTTTACAGAACTGGATTGTTTTATGACCACAATTTCTCTCTGGTACTCATACGACAAAGTCTACTTTATCATACATGTACCACAAAGAAACACTTTCCAACCAATAATCAGTTAAGTTCAACAAAAATTGCAAGATTGTTGTCAAACAATTCTCAACAAACTTCTTTAATGGCTCTTCTAAGGCTCATTTATGGATTTAAATACTTTTAAAAATACTAAATGAAATAATATCAAATGACAAATACATGAAACATTTACCTGTACGGATACCCATGTGCTTTTGAACGGAAAATTGACAATATCAGACTGAAAAAAGTTGCCACTAACACAAGACCAGCAATAGCAAGAATACGACGTTTTCTCACATCTCCTTTGTGAGACGCAGCCTCTGTCATTAAGATCATTCCAAGAACGATAGCTCCATCTAATCATGTATTAAGGATCAACAAATTGCAAATAAAACAATTTTATGAAAATATTAATATATACCGCAGGATATATTATATATGTCAAGAGATAATTTAAACAAAAATAACAATCATATCAAGCTTGGTACTAATAATATTGCAATAAAACTTTGAAAAAGGGTAAAATAAAATTATTTTTATGTAAGTTACAGATTTCTCTTAAAAATCTAAGGAAAAGAACATTGGTAAGGATACTTAGAACAGCAATAATATATGTTTCCAGGACAAACTGTCCTTGAGAAGATCCATGAATGTAGGCAATGCCACCACCTGATGCTTTGTGTACAAATGGAGGGCCTCTTATGTGGTTCCACATTTGCCCAGACACCATTGCAAAGCAAAAGAACTGAAAAAAATATTATTTTACAATATACATACTTTTAACATAAATACTGAGCAGCTAAAAATTTTATCCAGCAGTCTGGAATTTTTTTGTGAACTGACAACATTGCTCAAGATTATTTGGGGAAGGCTATATATGCTGATATTGAATATGCTTTGCAAAAATTGGAGAAAATGCCAGGCAAATTGACATCTGGACCTGAGGATGTTCCTTCAATTACCTTTCAACAGTATCCCTTTCAACAGTACTAATCGAGGCTACCTTCTTTGCTGTTGTTGTTTTGTCAAAATCTGTGAACTCTGTGAGTATCTAATTACAAATAAACAGAAATCGGCAAATATATGCCATTTTTAAAATGGGCGACAGCACTATTGCTAATCATTATTAGCCAATATTGTTTCTGCATAACTTTTCTAAAACACTTTAAAATCATTTATACGATATTTCGTACGCAGTTTTTTAGGTCGTATGTTTCTGGTATTATCAAGGATTTTTGCAAAGTAGATCTATGGTTAATATAATCTTATGACATTTGCGCAATCAATTTCAGTGACCTCAGTGAATGCAGCAGGTTGATCTAGCTTACACGGCCTTTATGGAAGCTTTTGACCGTACTGTTTTTACAACAGAGATTGAGAAAACTTGATATCCCAAATAACTATTTGAAACTTTTTATATCCAGACTGTTTTGTGACTGTATATAACGTGCTTTTTTCTCCCAAATTTGACAAAACAATTTATATTCATTTATACATTTATTTTCTTCATAAACGATTACGTTGTCATGCAAATCTCTTGTACTCTTCTAAATAGGTTCGTGGCATTAGTATTTCAGCGTCTATTTTTTTAAATATTATTTTTAAATTTGAAATGACAGTTCCTAGATCTCATTATGTCTCCTCAATGGGTATATCTCACTGACTTTGATCTTATATAAGTAAATTATATAATTTTTAATGTATTTCTCCATTAAAATAATTTGTAATTTTGTGAATATGACACTGCTTGAGACTCATCAGTGATTATATAACTTTGATCTGGATCAATATTTCTCCAAATTCTGCATATGCACGAAATAATTAATGACAGATTGCAGACACTTTAAAAACTGAAAACAGGCATCTACCATAATTTTCAGATTCATTAAAGATTATCAGCTATAACCCCTTCTGTGTTAGATCTAAAAGTTACCCATCCACTTACCACCGCAATAATCGCCCAGCAATTTTTGTTGTATAAAAAGTCAAGATTGTTACGTCTCAGGTATAAGAAACCTGCCACAAGACCAAACAGTAGAATAAGTGCTACTGTTCCAGAATAGTTGGGAGGACGGAACACTCTTAACTGAAAAGAAAATATATATTATAATTTTTGAATATATAAATATCAGTATACCACCAAAAAATCAGATAAACACCTGAACATCAGTTCTTTCTCCTATCCATTTTGCAATAGCTTCTGCTGCAAACCCAACACGCTGAATGTCCATTGTGTCACTTTGCTTTGGCTTTCCTTTGGAGGGGAAATGCATGAATACAGGTGCAGTATTCAAACGTAGCTATAATTAATGCATTACAAGTTTAGCGTATGGTTAATTCAGAAGATAATATCTAGAGCCCGGAAGTTCAGGCACATATTTTACCAAAAATAGGCAGCCAAAAACACATTTATTTTTTTCTAAAATACATGCAAAAAGAGGCATTTATACTGGCTAAAGTTGGAGCAAAACACAGGACTCGTTAAGAAAAATCACCATTCAAAAATAGTGTAAAAAATTAATAATTATAACATCTTTATTTTAACTCCAAAATGTACATTGGCACTAACGAGAAAGGACCCTGCCTTTCCTTTGTAATCTTGATCACACTTGCCCATTCGATTGATGATAAATTCATTTTACTTGTGACCCCATCTCTAGGAAGTGCTATTGCGGACTCCCTTTTGAATCTTGAAATGGCAGGAGTGAACGCGGAATTGTAGATTTTGTTCTTCCCACTTGCCTAATCAGAAAGGAAGTGAGAACAAGGAATTGAAAAGGGTATACTCCTGTGCAGACAGCTCTGTCCTCAAAAGGGCCATACACAAACATAGGAAGAGATTCCTAATGAGCAACAAGTCTATAAGCATAAAATGAAAAATATAGAAAATCATCACTGGTACCATTTTCCTTTCCCTTTTAGATTCTTAACACAACCTGACACGAGCCTCTATGTTCACAGAAAGACAATACACAATCGTAACTTCATGTAGTCCAGGATAGCAAGAATGTTTCCAACTTGATAGAGATTGGTGCTAGGAGGGAACGAATAGGAAAAATAATAATGAAAAAAACAGAAAAGGACACAAATAAGGAAGAAAAAGGCACAAATAAGGCAAAATGCTAAAAATAGCATCGTTAAAAGAAGAAAAATGAAAATCTACAAAAACAACAACTTCAAAGTACAATTAAGTGATTCCTTTTGTTAAAAGTCAAAATTGTATTAATTATAAAAGGCACTTTAACAAACTTCCGGGCTCTAATAATAACATTAAGTTACATGCACCTACCATTTGAAAAACATCAGGACCTTCATCAAAATCAACAAGAGCAAAGAATAATTTATTTGAGTATGCCTGGGAATATCGGAAAGAATTTGCGACAATCTGAAATTCATCATGTGCATGCCTGCAAAAAGAAATGTTTCAGTGTGGCATCTTTACAGAACATACACTACAGTTCAGTATAACAATTTTACCTGCATATGGAACATTGTCTTTGGGGTGCCATGGCTGTAAACATTACAATCACTGAGTAATTACGTGGGGTGGATTTGACAAAATCCCGAAATTTATTCCCATTGAATCTTAAAACAGAACGTTTCAAATTCATATCCATTAACTGTTGAACCCGTTCGCCCAGGCTCTGGCCCTGAAAAGAGACATAATAATGAAGAAGTTATAAAGATATACAACACAAAACACAGGATACACGAGACCGGTATGAATGTGATACCAACTCACATCTTTTTTCCTGACTTGACTTTCCGTTAAGTTCCACAAACATGTTGTAAATAGTACACAGAGTAATATATGTAGCTTCATAATGCACTATGTAAAAACTTTCAGCAAATTACCAACAATTTCCTTCCTTTGACATGTCACACTCAACCCAACCAAACCCAACCACGTAAACTACGTACTATACCCTGTTTCATGACACACAATTCACAGTTATACAGTACATTCAAGAATAGGGAGTTTGTGCACGTCAGGGCCGTATAACTCCCATATAACGTAGTCGGGACTGGTGGGGACCATTAGTGACGCGCTCTAGAGCATCACCTTCTTACAGGAACTAAAATACGAAATACTACCAACGTTATTTAAAACACGCGTGGGTTCTCGGAACGCAAACACACACGCTTGATACAAAAGATCGCGCCGCTAAGAATAAATGAATTTAAAAGATAAACACATAATATTTAACTTCTTTTGTAAATTATTTCAGAAATCGCTCATAATCAGTGTATTGGTATTTCTTGCCATTTTTTATGCGCAAAAGTTGAGCAGATTTTTCGAGCAGGATACATCCGGCGACACTAGCGCATCCTATAGTAGCAATCCAATAGTAGCTTTGTCCCCAATTTTGATGGAGAGTTGCCGTCACAGCAGCAGCAGCACTATCGATCTTCTGCGCCTGCGCAGATGCACGAAAGTGGTGCGAAATTTGAATTGCGCTTCCGCAGAAGATCGATTGTGCTTTAACGTTCGAGGGTATACAAACTCCCTAATACATCTATGAGATGTCTACAACACGTGACTTGTAGAACTTGTGAGGGCAGCACTGTCGGCTCGGGGTAGCAAGCTAGTGGATGCTCTTTCCTGGTGTCGTCGTGAATATTGTCAAATGCTGAAAGTTAATACTGCGAGCTAATGGTCAAAATACGGAATATGTGTCGATTTTCTTTTAGTAGTACGTCGAGATCATACTTCGTTGAAGATTTACCTTTGCTTATAAGGGTTTAAAAACGTTTTTTAAAATGTGTAGGTACGCTTTCTCTAGATGTTATTTTTTCTCCAAAATAAAGTAGTATTTTCACAATAATGGCCATTCGGACATTCGGGCCAATTTGTCGGACCAACCGTCGGGATAACGAAATTGGACACACTTGTCTACACACTGCCCGACCAACAACCCGATTTTTCAGTAGTGCTCGGAATTTTGAGAAAGCAACATCTATGCGAGAAAGATAGTGCGAGCACAGTGACTCTCAACGATGAAAATCTGGACAAAATTTAAAAAAAGAGATAATCCTATTGAGAGATGTTTATGTTCACAATAGTTTAGCTAAATAGTCATAGAGTTGAAATGCAGGTGAGGATCGCATCTTTGATATTCATCTTCAGAGCCCAGTTCGAAAGCTAACTACGTGCAACCGGGTTCTAATACGGTATCGAAAAATACCATCAGGTTATTAAACTTTTTGACAAAGTTTTCATACAAATATAACCCGAGTTAAAATAAAAGATATAGTGTAAGTGAATACTGAATATTATTTTAAATACTGTAGTGAAAAAATTAATGAGAAATTCTAAAAAAAGAACATGTGTTATAGTACATAATAATTCTACGGTCAAATTTGCAATTTTCTTTCAAAATCACAAAAGTTTCTGCTTCTCGCTATATCTGCATTGTTGGCACATGTTTGAATAAAGGAGTTTTTAAGCCATTTAATGATGATTTTCTCATGATATAGTATGTAATTTCTACTATTTATAAATAAAAACAATTGATTTCTTTATGTTGCTTTCATTCTCATGATTATTGTCAAAGTTCGCTTACATTACCGATTTTGAAAAGAAATTTGCATTTTATGTTCAATTTACTTTTCTACCAAATTTGATTCGTAATTTTATTTCTTGAAATTTTCGACTTCACATTCGTAATCGGGATCACCAAACCTCCAAGTACTACCGAACTTTTCAATTAAACAACTCTTTCACATTTGAACCAGCGTTTTGAGATCTGGAATCAGCTTGTCCAATACTTCTACTCACTACACAATTTGTGTTTGATGGTGGAATCGGCGGTCGTAAGGTCAGGACTAACCAACCGTCTGACAAAAATTTCTGTTGGACAACTTGCCTCCACGCGATGCAATTTGTCGGATTGTGTTGCCGGTCGGCCCGACAAATCAGTACGTGTGTACGGGCCCTAACCAAGTTGCGTGCAGTCGTAGCCTGGGGCCTAAGGTGGCGGGAGAGATTACGCTTTTCTTGGATTTCCCACTATTCCTAGAAACAAGGAAAGTAAAATGATAGCTCCCTAGGAACAAAGAGAACAAAAGTATATTTCTGCTTTGAAGCCCGCTTCACTAGCCGAATTTGTTTACTACACTCTATGAAATCAGAGAGGTTCGAGACTTGCGGGTTCCTGGTAGGGCTGACCGGCTGGGAACCCCGATATCTAACTGCAGAAAATATTAAAAAATGTCAAAAATTCACATTTATTCTCACAATTGGTAATTTAAATGTTTTTGACAATAACGATAACAAAGAACGCGCCATTTTAAAAGGAAAATGCTTTTTAGCTCTCAATTACAGGAAATATATACAATATCAAATTGATCGCTATTAAACGGCAAAAAAAGTCAACGCATCTTCTCATGCAGTGTATTATATTTTTATGCCTGAGTCATAGAAGCTTCTTGTTGGTACTGAAATTCGTTCCACCCATGTGTCTCTTCAGTTCAGGAAAGAGATGATAGTTACTTGGGGCTATGTCCGAGCAGTGGGGTGAGTGTGTAAGTGATAGTAGTCCGTCAAAATTGGGCGATGAGAATTGGGGTTATTGCGGTATGGACGAGCGTTAGCACTTTTAGGCGCAGCTCTATCCCAATAGTTCTGTCGAAATATTGTTAAAAGTGCTCATATAGTGACCGTGCGAGCTTAATAAAATGTGCGCTAAGCAAAGCTACATTTACAGTCTAAGATCAAAACAAGGATCCATCTCAGATTTGCTCACTGAATCAAGGGAAAATGGATGCATCATTCCCTTTCGTTGAACAACACTCGTATACTACTGAAGTAATACGGGAGACGATTGAGTCGAATATTCTCGGCGAATATTGATGAACGAATGATTGAACGAATATTCTCGGCCGACATGGATGCAGGGGACTTTCACGTTTTTGTTGTCTCTCACGTGCCACATTAAATGGATCCGCGGGTAGCAAGCCGTATATAGTTCCGAAAATTATATTTCAACATCTTTTACAACTACACTTGATTCTTCCTCAGATTTGCTTAATACTTCCATATTTTTTCACTTCATTTTTTAAGAGATTAAAACTTCACAAAGTCAGTCCAATTTGTGTTCACTTCTGCAATTGCTCTATTAATCGTTTTGTATGCGAATCTAAATAGACATTAAAAGGTGGCTGTTTCGTTTGTTTATGCTAATAAGGTGTTAGTTAAGTTTAATAAGAATAAGTTTTAGGTTCCGCGGCCGGAGTCAGTTTACTTGGCTGTCCGGGTGACGCCGCGTCCGTGGCGAAGGTGCTGACGTTTCGGTCGCCATTCTGCGACCTTTCTCAGGGCGTAACTCAAGGTTGCAGAATGGCGACCGAAACGTCGGCACCTTCGCCATGACCGCAGCGTCACCCGGACAGCCAAGTAAATACGGCAAGTTCTGTGGAAATATTTGCCATAGAAGTTGTAAAAGTCTGTGACTCACATATGGTTCACGGAAATATTAAAACCATCGACTGTTACATTTTCTGAACCACATATGGCTCATATAACAGTAATCGTGTTAACGGATGATAAATCTTTGTTTCGATGTTCGATTGTATTCGAACCCGGCACCTCAGTAGTGAATGGTAAGCGATTTCGCCACGAGAGCATTTTCAATTAGTTTAATCAACGCTACATAGATCTATTTAGATAGCGATGGTTTAATTTCCGGCATACTCACAAGATCGCACCCCTAACTGAAGTTTGTGAAATTTCTTTGAATCTTATAGCCGGATCAGAAAACAAATTATCAGTTCCCCACGAGAAACCGAGACGCGTCGAATGACATCTTTGTCTCGATTGGTGAATGGGAAATGATCCAACCGTGAGTGACGGATCCTCGTACCCGAAGCGCCCACCCCTCCCCCCAACACACGTGCCACACGTACACGTTCAGTAGTTTTTCAAATACTGAATAGGGCTGGACACAATTTATCCGCTTTTTTTCGTTACTAGGCTTGCAATAAGTTTTTTCGTCGTTTTCCCTCCGAGGCATTAACAATATTTCTCCTACACTCTAAGCAGTAGTTAGGTGAGAAAACTAAAAAAAAGTATTCTTAATGAACCCACCGATGATTTGAAAAGCCCGCTGATTTCTAAATAAATGTATTTTGCATGATTTATTCAATGAGCTGTAAGTATTATATATAACAGATATAGATATACATATTATATATACGGATTAGTGGGTATATTGAAGGAAATTCGAGTTTCATACATTCGAAATGTTATCTCGACCTAGCAGACCATGATGTAGTGACACCGACAAGGTCGTATGATTGGTGTAATGGAGCTCTTTGACTAGTAGTCGCTGCCTATTGGTTAAAAATTCAATAGCAGTGAATAAAATGAGGGGGAAGTGAGGGGGGGGGGAACAGGGATGCACCACGCTGACGGGAGTTTTAAATGTGACGGTTCAAACCGTCGTTCGCCGTTGCCGTGTGCTTTTGTTCTGTTGTGTTGTAACATTTATGTTACAAGATGTCTTTTCCACGAGCAAGAATCCAACGATTCAACGAGGCTCCATGTAAGAATTACGAATATGAATGTTTGTGTGTATTGGTATGAACAATTTTGGGGGTATTTAAAAATATCTCATTGAGTCAGAATGTGGCATGTGACAATTGTTGAATTGTTTATTCAATTTGTACTGTATTAAGTACATGCACATTTTATTATTCAGGAACTTATTCATTGTTTTGTTACGTTTTTAGCATGCTCTCCAGCTCCTGGAACATACGACCCAAAATTAGATACGAAGGTGAAGGGACCGACAATGAGGAAAGACGCCAGACTTATGTCTGAGGGTGATCTCTCCTCTAAAATTCCTGTTGCTACAGTTGCAGGATTTCGCACAGTAAGTTTCAACTGCGGTATTGTGATAAAAATTTACTGTATTAACTACTCAAAAATTGTCTTGGAGTCTTGCATGTTGCACCAGTTACATGAACTTGAAAAATATTAAGTATATTTCTTGAAACAAATTAGTAATTGTATTAAGTTTAGAATTATAATTTAGGGTCTTTATGTGAAGTAGTTTGGAAACAATTACAGTAAGATTGTGTATGTAGGATATGTATACTCCCCATTTCTGCATCATTTTTTGTAATAATGTAGATTTAGGACCAGAGAACTTTTGAATGAACAGGATGCAATTTCATGGTAGGAAGGATTTTTTTTTTTTTTAATATTTCTACATTGTAGTGGACCTTTTGTAATTTAGCTCGTTGAATACCAACCACCAGATAACAACTTATGCATATATAATTTATCCATTGCTTACATGCTCCATCCATTTACTGTAGTTCCTCTTTTCATAAAAAAAAAAAAAAAAATTATTGGATATAATCCTAACACAGACCGTATTTCTACTCACTGCTGTTTTTTTTCCTTCCATTAATTTTAACAGCATTTCAGAAACTCAAGATATGAATCATATTACAGATCAACACACTGTACATTATGATGTGAAGATTCAATGAAGAATTATTAATGTATGCTGAAGATCTATATTCTTTGTGTTGCATGTTACTCCTTAATGTGAAATGCTCAAACTTTATTTTTCATGAATTTATTCTTTTAGGGTAATATCTTGGAAACCAGATTCTTTTTAAAGAAAATTCCAGATTTATCAGAAATTTTAAAAATATGTTTTAATTTTTTTACGTCGACACTTTTACTTGGAGCAGCAACAATTACTGTAGGATTTGAAAAATGTGCATAAACCTTTACTCATAATGCTGTGTAGTAAGAGAGTACAAAATCTGGAGCTCGGGAAGACATGTGCATCCACATTCATTATAACTGAGTAGTCATACAGAATTGAAATAGTATATGTGACTCGATAAATATTATTTATAATTATGGCTGTTGCTGTCTCCTGGTAAAGAACGTTGGTATATGAAAATTTTCTCTTGGATCGTATTAAAGATGTGGTTAAGATTATTTCCTGTTTTTGTATTTTAACTTTAATGATTAATTATTCATCGTTAAATATTTCTGTTGACTTCAAGATAGTTGAAAGAGATGCTGCATTTTTGAATGAAATATTGGAAGATTGATACTAAAATTTGTATGAAATGTTAATAAATTTATTCATGTACAATTTATTTTGTATATCATAATTTTTTGAAATGTTGAATTTTCTGGATAATTTTTTGAGATCTGGACCTTCAGTGTAGATATTTCATCTGGATTTTGAAGAGCACAATGCAAGATTTTGCTTCTTTTACAAATTTATATTTTCTTAAGAAATGTGAAGTAACATTTAAGTATACAATCACCTGTGTTCTCTAAGAGGAATATTAAACATATTGGATAGACAGTGGTGCTAACATGATTTTTCTCAGGGGCTATTTGTATAATTTCCAGCTGACTCCTTTCTTTATAAAGAATATTTAAAGTACACTGTGTGTGTGTGTGCGTGCGTTGTGTGTGTCATATATATATATAAATTTTTATTTTTTTTTAAATTTGTTGATTTATGGTTGTTTATAGTGTATTTAATTGAGATCTTAAGTGACTTTCATTACTGTAGTAGTAGGCTATATCTGAGAATGTCATAAGCTTCTGGTGGGATCAAAAGCCCATGAGATTGACTCTTCCTACCATCAAATATGCTACTAGGTAAAAATATTAGCACATTAAAAGGAGCAAATAAAAAATGTTACTTTGAATTTCAGTAAATTTTCAATGAAATTTTAATTAAAATGTAGTTTTTAAGCTATTTGCCAATTATTGTTGATGATTGTCTTAATGGTGGGCAAAATTTACTCTTAAATGCAAATTATCAACTAGTAATTGATGTTGGAGAAACAGATTGTTTTAAATTCTCAGTGTATGAAATTTGATTTAACTGTCTGAATTTTGCATCTATTTTCATTATACTTTTGAGAGGTTTATTAACTGAAGGTTAAAGTTCATACTTGGTTTAAACATTATTTTGTAGATTATTACGGGGGGGGGGTTGATGACCTAAAACATTGCCAAAAATGTGAAATCTGCCAAACTGGCAATCATGCCGACAGGTGTCACAGGAACCTTAGATTATGTAATATGACTGACATTACAATATGTGGGCGCAGAAATCAAATAGGCTACTCGAGAAGTCTGTGGTAAAATATTGTTTGAAGCAAGTACTATTAAAATTAATGAAATTGGTGAAAAATGCTTTAAAAATGACGAAGAAAGGTAAAAAATGACATGAGAATAGTTTGTTTAGTTTGTCATAACATAAAATGAATTTCTATACTAAATGGCATTGTTCTAAAGTGAAAAGAAAAAGCTTGGTCTGCAGGAATGAACACAAGAAACCTAAGTCAAGACATATACCAATTGTGCTTTTGGGGCTTAATTTTCAACTGAAATACTCTGAGAATCTCTCAGAAACCTAACAAAGTGGACTTGCAGAAAACTCACTACATCACTGCACTCTAGTTCCAAGTGTAATTAAAAGTTGGGAAAAATGCCTTCTTTTTTTAAAAAGATTGTTACTATTTTATGTCTTTTAACAACAAGAATCACGTATTTGTACTTCTGGAGTTAGTTAGCATATGTTTGCCATTTCGACTTTTTTTCCCTGGGATTGTTCACGATCAAGCTCAATGTATACCTGCAAGCCTGTGCAACATGGAGGCTGTCATGTTTCGTCTATGGAAGTGAAGGTTGTGTTAAAAATCTAAATGCAAAAGGAAGATGATGCCAGTCGATATTTTTGATTTTTTTCATTGATGCCGACAGGCTTTGTTTGATCAGGAGGAACCCCATCCTTTTTGAGTATAGCCCCAATCCCTTTTGAGCAATAGCATTTTGAAGAGACAGCATTGCAAGTAAAACAAATTCATAGCCGTCAGTCAGGAGTCTTGTGGAATGAAAATTACAAAGAGGAGAGTTTCCTTACACAAGTGTTAATGCAAATTTTTGTTCGAAAAAAAGTTAATCCTTTAAATTATTAATTTTTTAAAAATATATCCTTTTAAATGTGAATATTCATTATTTACATGCATATTTGCACCCCTATTTTAGCTAGAATAAAGGTTTTTTGGGTGCATATTTTAGTGAAAATATGCCTTTTTTGCCTGCCCATTTTAGGTAAAATAAATGCCCCAACTTCTGGCCTCTAGTATTGTATTACACTCCAAATTTATACCCATAGAATATTCAATTATTTTGACAGATTTTATATTGCCTTGTTTTTCTTATTAATAAGTAGTAATAGTTAGTAAGATTACTACGTTATATGGCATAACATTTTCAGTTATACCTAATATACTAGTGTCGAATTAAACATTTTTCTAATTCAACAAATGGAAGTGGATTTTGTTGATCTTTATGCAAGATAAAACTTATTCTAGTAAAGTGAGAGGTAGTTCAATTTTGATTGCAGCTAGTTCACTTTGGTTTTCCCATTTCCTCTGCCACCTGTCTACTTTTCCATTCTTGCGTTCCACAATCTAATTCTACATTGAATTTTCAATAGAAAGTATTCTTAATAATTAATGTTTTTGAGTAAATATCTATCTTTTCTAATTGTATTTGGGAAAGTAGTGATAATTGCATGAGGTTGCCAAATATTGTTGCAGAGTAAATCATTTGTAGTTCAGATTTGAAAATTGAATTTTAAAAATTATAATACATATTTCAGATACTTTGTACTTTTGTATGTTTTAAATTTAATAAGTCATCTGTTTGAAACTGAAAGAGTTTGTAAAAATTAATCTTGTAAATTCTGGGCATTGAATCTCCTGGCATGGAACAGACTTGTTTATTTTAAGAAGGCTATTGATGAAGCAAAGACAATTGTTGGTAGTGATTGCACATGTTCAGCAATGACAAAGATGCACCATTCTGGAGCATTAGTAATGCTATTATATTACGCAAGCAACACATTACACTATGGAATCTTAGTGTTGCACATCTGGGAAGTCTTTTCATGGTGAAGATTTTTACTGGTTTTATGGAGTTTATTAATAAAGTTTTTAAACATACATTTGCGCGGCTTGCCTTTCCGCAAGAATAGGAAGAGGCCTAAGAAAGTGTTGATAAAAATACCTTTTAATATCTCGCACACTACTTTCGTAGTATAGAGAAAGTTACGTAATTTTTCTGCAGAAAAATGTAGATTCTTAATACTGAACAAAGGATTTTTGCTTTCTCGCCTTACGAATTTTTTACATGAAGAGAAAGTTATATAATCGTGCGCCAGAAAATCCTTATTGTCGGATTGTGGTAACGAAGACTTGGATAAATCATGTTAAATGAAGTGGGGATCTAACTCTTGGTGTAGCCAGAATCTATGTTACATCTTAATACTGAAAAATCGTTTGACGGTAAAACGGCCGTCAGTGTGGTCAACGCTAGTGCTTAAACCGTTCAACAGATTTTCTTCGAAACTGATATTTCTCAATCGATCTGAATGAACTCGTGGCTTTGAGTGTTCTTTTATTATAAAGCCTGTTGTCTTTCAAAAGGGTCATGCGCAACTTGAATAAGTGATCTGATTTCTCTGCCAAAACTGAAACCACCATACACGTTTTACCATTATATAAGTGTTTATCTCGTGTACTACTCTGGTGGCCGTGGTGGCTAATCGTGTACGGGCAAAGCTCTTCGGAGGGGAAGTTCGCTGGTTCGTGTCTTGACTGGGGAAGATTTGTCACAATTGTTGCCGCAGAAAATAATACACACATAAACATTTAAATACTGTATAAAGTGTGTCCACTGGACCAACTTAGATATTGCTAATGGTTCCGAAATTATTACTTTCTCACCTTCGTAAGGAAACGTTATGTAATCGTGCGTAGAAAAGGCTGAAATTACGCCAGAAAAAACAAAAAACAAAAAAACTTGATAGCCGGG